TGATATAAGAAGTCCTTTTTTTCCCCACGGTTTCCTTGCCTGTGTTTTGCTAACATTTTCTACCTCTCTCACCCTCCCCACACCCAGCCCCCTTCCTTTTCTGGTATTGTCTGCTTCATTGACTTCTTAATATTGTGTTGAATATTAATTTGTTGATATTTCAAATTGCACAAAGTGAGGACAAGGTGGCCACCAGGATGCCATTTTTTCTGGGCCTCATTTTATGAACTCAGGGACAGTAGAAGAACTGTGAATTAACTTTGTTCACATGATAATCTTTTAATGATTTTAAAAGTCATATGAGATAGGCAAGTCTTGTTGCTACTATTTTGCTAAAGTGCAAGGAAATCTTCTGCCCACTGCAGGCTGTCTTGGATCTATAAAGGAAATTAACTGAGATTTCCTGTCTACTGGGGAGCACTCCAGCAGTACACTCATCCTTTTGTGGGATTCCCAAGCATATATAATCCCAACCTAGGATGGTAGTAGTTACTTGTTACTTTATTAGTTACTTATTACTTTGGAGGTCTAATGCACACAGTTTGATAGCTGGATTTTACCAGCTCCTGTCAAATTCCAGATTAGGATTGTTTCAGATTGCTGTTAGATGCCACATCATTTTAACTTTAAAAATGTAGCTATGCCTTCCATCTCCTGAACATGTTTACTGAAAGTCAGGAAGGAAAATTCTCAGAAGTTACTTTCTACATTTGTCATTGTCATGACTACCAGTGATGATCACATCCTACTTTTCATTTTATCAAGAGTGCCTTTATTGATTCAGGTAGCATTTTGTCAAACAACAATCATTTTAAACATTGATGCTTTTTGAAAACCCCAGTGTGTGAGTTTAGAAAGGAGAACTTCATCCTTTTTTTCTTTTACAAGTAGCTCACAGTAAATTTATAAATTGATATTATTATAAACTGATATTAAGAAGAGACATACCTGGCACAGTAGTAGCAAAGCATTTGGTAGTTTGGCAGTTAAAAGAGCCTTTGGCATCTAGGAAGAACATGCCATAGTCTACCAGCTCTCTTGACTAAATGTCTCGCAAAGATATACAAGGGACTAGATTTTTAATCTGTGTGATATGTATACTAAAAAAAAAAAGAATAAATCTCATTTTAATTATACTTAATATCTATTATCTAATTTTTGTCAAGACATTTTGTTGAGATGTGATTACCATGTTTGTTTTGTTGACTTGAGAGAAATGGAGGTTAACATCCTATTTTCAAGCAAAGCAACATACATCTGTAGTTTGTGATACAAAGTCCAGGAGAGGGGAGCTGTGAGTGTTTAGTTGTAGTTTTTCAGTTGACCTGGCAAGAGGGACGGAATCACACACTGTGTCAAGGGGATGTCCTTGGTAAACCAGTTATCATTGCTGTCTGGGGCTTTGTTCTTCTAAATCTCATCATGTCTTTTGTAAGCAATTGTAAACATACACAAAATTCTGTGCATTTCTGATGTGGAATAGCAATGCAACAGACTTCCACACACCTTACTAATGCAGGTCTTATTGGCATCATGGGAGCACGGTGGGACAATTCCTATGTCTCCATTGAGATGGAAGGATACAGGATCTTTAGGAAGGACAGGAAGAAGAGATGAGTAGGTGGTGTTGCCTTCTGTATCAGTGATCACCTGGTGTGCATGTAGCTCCACCTGGGGATGGATGAGGAGCTGACCGAGACCCTGTGGGTCAGGATTAAAGGGAGGGCAGGGACAGGTGCCATCACAGTGGGGGTCTGCTACAGCTGCCCAACCAGGAAAGCTGAGCATGAGGTCCTCTACAGACAGATTGGAGCAGATTGAAGAACATTCACAGTTCCTCATCCTCATGGGGGACTTCAACCGCTCCTGATATCTGTCAGAGGGACAATGCAGGCTTTCCAGGGGATTCTTAGAATGCATTAACATCCTTCTCCAAGTGATAGAGGAGCCAGCAAGAAGAGGTGTCATGCTGGAAAATGTTCTGGTGTTATGTTAGGAAGTTCACTAATGCACAGACAGAAGTAAATCTGGCCAAGGACATTCAGGGTAACAAAAAAAAAAGCAGCTTCTTTAGGTATGTCAGTGATAAAAAACAGACTAAGAAAAATGTGGATCCTCTCAGGAAGGGTCCAGGAGACCTGGTTACCCAGGACATGGAGATGGCTCAGGTACTCTATGACTTTTTTGCTTCAGTCTTCACCAGTAAGTGCTGCAGCCACACTGCCCAAGCTGCAGAGGGTGAAAGCAGGGATGGGGAGAATGAAGAACCAGCCGTTGTAGAACGACCCCAGCTGGGTTTAAGAACATCTAAGGAAACTGAAGGAGCGTAATTCCATGGGACCTGGCGAGTTACATCCATGGGTCTTGAGGGAACTGTCCAAGGATGTGGCTAAGCCCACACCCATCTTATTTGAGAAATCATGGCAGTCCAGTGATTTGAAAAGGGGAAACGTAACCCCCATTTTGAAAAAAGGAAATGAAAAAGACACAGGGAACTGCAGGCCAGTCAGCCACAAAACCCCCCCTCATCCTGTTTTCATTTTACATGTATTTTTGAAGGTAGAATTGCTTTAAGGAAGAAAAGCATTTAGACTGTATTACAAAACACTAGAATTAATTCTGTTTATGAAACAGATCTGCTTTTAAATTCTAAAATTACCTATCTTTATCTTTTCAAAATAATAATAGAGGGTGCCAGGAAATTGAGCCTCAGTCAGGCAGAGATTCCAGAGGATTCACATAGAGCAAACTGGGCAAGTAAGTTATGTAATTGTCATGTAAAAGCAAAAAACATGTTCCTGGTTTGGTTATTACAGCCTGCTTTGTCTTAATTTAAAGTGGAAAATTTGAGAAAAGGGACCACTTGCCTTTAAGTTAGTTGTAGTTTATTTAGGAAGTTAAAAGAAATGTGCAGTGCTTCAGTAATTAATAGACTGCTCACAGATGTATTAAATACCTTAAAATATTTTAGACATTTTTAAAAGGGAATTTGGTTTGTGAATTCCACTCTGTTGCATTAAAAATTTGTAGATTTACATATTGGAAAAGTTGTGGTTTGGTGAGCTTGATTCATAGTTATAATTGATAATGTTTTAACCAGAAATCCAAGATGAAGTACATAGAATAAAGAACTATATGTTTTATTCCTCCATTACAGGAAATAACCATCTTTTTAGTTTAATCTTTTTTCCCCAAGATATCTCAGAAGTATTTTAAGTTCTGGGGCTAGCCTCCCATGAAGTGGGGAGCATTCTGTATGTTGTCACTTGTTTTCAAAAGGCAGACAAGGGCTGTTGGTTGGGGAGCCACTTTTCCAATTCAGATGTAAAGCCAGAGGAAGGGAAAGTGTTGCTTCAAGTGCCTTAGACAGGTTGATAGGTCAGTTTCGCAGATTCTGTAGGAATTTCTTTTTGTTTACATAAGAGAGGACTGAAAAGAATGAAATAATATTACCTATTCATTCAATCATGGAAGCTTTTAAAAGGTAACCCCTGTACATAATTTTCAGTCTCTCCCAATGGCACCCACTCACACTTTTCTTTCTCTGAAATGACCTATAACACATTCACTGATATCTGAAATGATCCATCGTTTTCAAATACATACCTATCCGTACTCACAAAGGTACTAAATAGACACACAGTTAAATGATTCTTTGCTGGCCTAGGAGGGCTGCATGATGTCTCCCTGTACTTTATCGTGATCAACTGTACTAAGGATGGATATTGCCATTCTGTTCTTTGTGTCCACACACAACCAACTCTGTGAAGGAAAATTTCTATTTAGCTTCCACGTTTCAAAAAAGCTTGGATAGCATGGTACTGCTGGTATTTTTTAAATATTTCACTAAGTAAAAAATTCAGCAGCATAAGGATGGAATTCATTACAACTAATTTATCTGTCTAAAAATTGTGCGTGACTGGGAGTTACAGCAGATCTCTCTATCCTCAGAGGAAAGAAAGGGAAATCTCTGGAGAATGATTCTGAGCTATCTTGTATGGTTATTCAGGAGGACTCTGAATGACTGACTTAGACCAGTGTTCTTTGGAAAAGCAAATGCCATCCATCTTTCAGTGGCTGGAAATGCTGTGAATTGAACCATTGCAAAATACATATCTACAGACTTTTTCTATCATGGTTTTCATTCGAATCTGCTTGTTCCAGTATGATACATACTTAGTAAGTTTCAAGAAGTAGAGTATAGAATTTTAGTCATATTGCAGGATAAACCAAATATAAAATTTAAATTGTTCAGTTATCTTTTTAGGATTCTTAATCCACAATGAGCTGTATTTGGGTGTTTTAGATGTGAATAGTCAAATTTACATCAAATAAGACAAATTAAGTAACGAGTGCTTTTTTTTTTTTATTAGACAGTTGTAATTCAAATGATTACATTTTGTTAGTCTGTTAACATTTCTCTGTCAACAAAGTAGTTTTGTAGCCATGTGTAAATTCCTACTTCCCAAAGAATCCAGTATTTACTTGCTGAGCCAAAGCATTGCTGACCTTTACGGTTACATCTGGCCCAACATTCTGCAGGCATTGTATAACTTAGACTTAAAAAATCCTTCACAATCATTTTGTGAAACTAAATTCTGTAAGGAAGTTCTAAAGACAAAATCAGGTAAATGCATCATTTAGAATAATGGATACAGGTTTGTTGTTTTTTTTTCTATGGGTATAAAGTTACTCAGCTGTGAAGACTGAAATTCTGTCTTTGGATGGTCATGAGCAATTTATGTTGCAAAGAAGATCTATTTTGTCATTCGCAGTGACAAGTGGGAAGCTGTGCACTGAACACTTGAAGAGGAAAATCTAACACTGAATACTAAATAGAACTGTCTTTCTATTATTGATCCATGCATTTCTGTAGCATGAATATTTTCCACCATTAACATTTTTTATCTGCATATTGGGAAGCTGACCATTTAGTTAATTCAAAGAGTAAAATTTTAGAAGCAGGTGATAATTTCTTGTCTTTGTGTTCTTTTAAACAGGAACAGATGTCTCAGGTGTTAGATGCGATGTTTGAAAAGATGGTTGAAGGAGGGGAACATGTGATTGATCAAGGGGATGATGGTGACAACTTCTACGTCATTGACAGGTGAATTGCTGTGTCTTACTATAGCACAAAGTGCTATGCAAAAGTCCATTGAGAAAAGTCTGTATTCTGTGACCTTGTATTTAATGCTTACATTACAGCTTTTCTCTTGGTATTCAGTGACAGGACTCATAGGAATGTTTCAAAGCTGTGCCAGGAGAGGTTCAGATTTGACATTAGGAAGCATTTCTTTACCAAATAAGTGGTCAAGCACTGAAAAAGGCTTCCTAGAGGTTGATGCCCCAAGCCTGTCAGTATTTAAGGGGCATTGGGACAATTATTTTAATAAAATTCTTCCAGTTTTTGGCAGCCCTGAAATGGTCAAGTAGGTGAATGAAACGATTGTTTTAGGTCCCTTCTAACTGAAATATTAAATCAGATGATCATAAAAGCATGTCCAGATTCTGTGCTGGAAAGATGATATTTTTCAGCCTTGTGAGGTTACCACTTGTCATCTGGTAATGAAAAAGGCTGCAGGGACTTTACAATATCCTGTCAGCCTTGCGGTTTTTAGGTGTAGGGTATCACCTCTTTGTCCCTTATCAATGAAACAACTGCACAGATTTTTGCATTACATTCATATGATTTATCAATGCACACCATAAAAATATTCAACACAGAAGAAAATGATGGCTCAGCATCAATGGGCTTGGCAACTTCATGTTTTACAAGATATCAAATTTTACTGCATTCCTGAGGGAAAAAAAAGTTATTAAATCAACGATGGAGAGAAGAAATGCACAATATATTAGAAAAATGCATATAATGATATATGTATTTCATGATCTTACGCTTCTTTTCAGATACATTCTCTCTGTTTCCTGCATCTCTGTTGTTTCATTAGAAATTACTACTGTAAAATATTTAAAATATTAAATAACTTGTATAATTATTTCAGTGATCCTATCATAGTAATTTTTGCAAAGACTTGACATTTGTATTTAGTTTGGTTACAATGAAATTAAGAAACAGATTCTAAGTTAGATCTTAATTTTTAATAAGATCTGCTGATAAATAGATCTCTGTACATCCATTCTATCTTTAAACTGAGTTAATGTAAAAACTAATAACCCTATTCTTCCCTTTAAAGAGGGACCACTTTTATTATTTATAGAAGTCATTGAGATGACTTTACAATGGTGTTTAATACCATTTAAGCAAGCAAATGTGTTTTTCAAATGCTTTATTTTTGTAATTCATGGTATAAAAAATACAGTGAGAGGCTGCTTAGCAAAGGCCAGGGCTGGATTCTACTCATTGTATTTATATATTTTATTAACAGAGGTACATATGATATTTATGTAAAATGTGATGGTGTTGGGAGATGTGTTGGAACCTATGATAACCGAGGATGTTTTGGTGAGTTGGCCTTAATGTACAATACACCCAGAGCAGCTACAATTATAGCTACCTCTCCTGGTTCCATCTGGGGTTTGGTAAGTAGAGTACTTCTTTTAAGCTATTTTTTAAAGAGATATATTTTATATAGATTTCACTGGCATGCTATATCAGCATTAAAATATATATATATATGTAATAATATAATATAATATATAATTATATTATTATTATAATATAATCATATATATATATATATATATATATGATTTTAGAAAGTTTAATTCTAGAAATCATGATAAATACCAACACAATGCTATTATTTTCCAGAATCCAGAGGTGAAAATCCGAAGTTTAATAAAACACTGATTTTAAAAAAAATAAATAAAATTTAATTGCAATTTCCCAATTTGAAAACCACTGATAATTGCATATTATTTTTTTCCCATATACCTTGATTGGAAATGCCATTGTTTCCAGAGTAAAATTCCAATATGAGGTTATTTACTAGTGTTATACTACCTGACAATGATCTCTGACAAGAGTAATTGAGTAATTGAGTTTACCCCGAAAGTAAGCTGAGATGGCTATCATCTTCAAGATGTACATATTGATCTAATGAGTGATCCCAGGATTGAAATGAAACATGTGGTTGTTCACCAGCTTAATCCATGTGACTTTTGAGATCGTTTAGGACACTGTAAGAATGGCTTTAAATTGAATTGTGTTGTGTTGGCCACTAAGTGCCCCCTGTGGCAGTGAAGGCTTGCAGTGCATTTTCCCTCTGCCTGTCTCCAGGGTACAGCCACACAAAGTTAAGAGAAGAAAACACCATATGTGTAGTTTTTCCATCTGTCTGGTTCACTTTCATGGTCAAATCCTAAGGAATGTCCATCGGGCTGTTTAGGGCAGCAGTGAGCCTTGTTCTGCTGGAACAGCAGTAAGTGGACTGTGATTTAAGACCCAGACTCATGTATTTTGGTTTCTACAAAACCCTAGAAGCCTCTCTGAGTACATATCAATTTGTATGGGACCTCAGGGTATTGAATAAACTTTGTAAATGAAACATTTAAATACTGAGGATCTCTTAAATCTCCTAAATTACCCACTGTGTGTTTACTACTGTAAACTCTACCCTCTGTACATGAGCTTGGTATGTACCCTGCAGGGATTTTGATAGCAATTTTCAGGTTAACTTTAGGAACTCCTGATTGACCTCTAGAGGAATCTTTCTCAAATGACAGTAGGGAGAGAAAAGCCAGCTCGGTTGACAGCTACACTGAGTGACTAAAACTTGGTAATTTGATAACATACAGCCAGTTCTAAAGTATTTTCTAGCACATATTTTCAGTTAATAAACTCTCTTTCTCTCTTTGTGTTTACAGGATAGGGTAACATTCCGAAGAATCATTGTAAAAAACAATGCCAAAAAGAGAAGAATGTATGAAAGTTTTATTGAGTCATTGCCATTCCTTAAATCTTTAGAAGTAAGATTTCTATTGCATTATTTTAATGGCTGTGTTGGAGGTATCTGATAAGATTCTGCTCTTGAGGACTTTTAATTTGGCATTCAAAGTGTCTCCACAATAGAAGTTTGCATACTTTTGTTTCAGAGAAAAACTACATTTTAGTTTTTTTTAAATTTGGAATAAATTATTATTATTCATATTATATTTTAAAACATAAATTAACTTCACTTTCAGTTTCCCAAAGCTTAGTTTTACTAGATAATAGCCAACAAAATTAAACAATGACTCAGGGAATTGAAAATTATTTTCGTCTATCAGCTATATTTTTACATATATTTTTACATATGTGCTTTTCTGAGCATAATTTTTGAAGGCTTCTAACAAAAATGGAAGCTTATCAGAATATCTGTTAAAACTGTAATATACCCTCTGGAACACTATTCAGCAGTTCTTTTTTTAATGGTAATCAAACCAGAAAAATAAAGATACACTATGCTGTGCAAAGATTCACAAAAAGAAATATCAAAGGGCTTTCTAAATATATACTATCATAATGTTAACCAAATATTTCTTACTTTTTTTTTTTTTTTAAATTAAGGTATCTGAGCGTTTAAAAGTGGTTGATGTGATTGGTACCAAAGTGTACAAAGATGGAGAACAAATCATTGCTCAGGTACAGTTTCTTCCCAGTTTTAGTTTTTCTTTCATAATAGATAACAGTAATCATGTTATTTATAGATAATGCATGCTTTTAAACCTTATTTTTCTTTCTCATATATAAAAAAAAATAAATCTATGAATCTTAAATGTAAGAGGTGGTTATTTTGTTGCAAAAGTTCACTTTTCACTTATGATACTTTCAAGACCAACCCTCTTTGTTGGTATAAATAAAAAAGTCAACATTTTTAGTATACTTAGAAATTCAAACTTTATAAATGCACTTCCAAGGAGGAGCACTGAGGACTCAAGTTAAAATACGGTCAACTTTTCAAGAAGATAGACGTATACTCTTTGGGATAGGCAACTGTGATTGTCTTGCTGCAGGACAATTAGTGGTTTTCACATAGCCCCTGGAGGCTTTTTATACTGGAAACTTGCTAAGAGAAATAATTTGGGAGGAACACAGCAGGGGATAAATGGTAGTAAGGATCCTAAAAATCTTCCACAACGTTGGTTTTCTCTGCTTTTCGTGTAAGTCACAGTCAGCTATGTCTTTTCATGAAAAGGCCTTGCTGTCAGTTCTGTATAGATATTTTGAAGGTTATGTGTCTAGAGTATGGTTTTCAAATTAAAAGTGATTTATTTTGCAGCAGGTATCAAAAGAAGGAGCTTCAAGGCACTGGTTACAAATATTTTGGTGTTACCATGAAACTAAAAGGGAAATGTTACACTTTTTTTACTCACTTTATTTTTTTTCTTGCGCAGGGTGACTTGGCTGATTCTTTCTTTATTGTGGAATCTGGAGAAGTAAGGATTATAATGACAAGGAAGGTAAACATCCCTAAAACAACAACTTTTTTTTTTTTTACCATTGTCACTAACTTCGCTTATGAAATCCTGACTTTGGCAAATCTTTCCTCTAATACTTTATCTTTCTTTTTTACATGGTATTTCAGGGTAAACAAGATCTAGAAGAGAATGGAGCAGTAGAAATAGCTCGATGCTCAAGAGGACAATATTTTGGAGAACTTGCTCTTGTAACTAACAAACCCCGAGCTGCTTCTGCATTTGCTCTTGGCACTGTCAAATGTTTAGGTATTAGTCAATACTATTTTATATCTAACATAAAGTATATGTAATCTATTTGGTTGGTTTTACTGTGACTCTGTCTTTCTCCAGAATATAAGATTTAAGGCTGTTTCAGTAATCACCTAGTATTGTGCATTACTATTTACGTTATTTATCTGCAAAAATTACTTACAATTGATAAATACTATTACACACATTTTCTCCAACATTTCTGTTATTGTATGGAAGTAAAAATTGTTTTAGGCCAGTACAGAGTATTACTGCAAAATGCTTAGAGCTATCAGATAAATGTCTAATACTCTGCAGAAAGGCGAGGTGTTTCTTCTCTCAGTAGACTGACTCATCTAAGAAATAATTCTATTAAAAATTCTGTGCCTTTTTATCCCCATGACTTAAGCTTTTAACAAATTCTTTTGTCTTCACTAGCTGTTAATTTAGTCATCCCATCACATTGTAGTCTCAGGCACAGGAAGAGTGAAGACTGTAGGAGTTGTGCTCATAGACAACCCTTCACATCCATTGCTTTTCGTAGTCTGATGTTTAGCTCCTAATTACAGGAAAACTGTAAACTGCAAAGATAGATTTGGCATTCCTGCATAACCATTTGATGACGAAGTCAGTAACCAAAAAGTTTCTCTATTTTTTATAATTCCAAACTCGAAACACACAGAGATGATCAGGCAGTAGAGATCAAAGATACGGCAGATAAGAAAGAATAAGAGGCAGTGGTGAGGAAGAGTGTTATTATCCATTTTTGGCTGAATAACAAGCACTCTGGCACTTCCCAAACAAAAGAGATCTTGAAAATTTCTCGAGACAAGATATTAATGGCCAGCAAGTTGGGAGTATATGGAGTTTCCTTCCTGGCCTATTGGCTGGAACTATAGAAGATCACATTATGTGATCAGGTAAAGAAAACACTCTGATTGGCTGTGCACTGACATTGCATCTTCTGAATTATTGTCTTCAACTTCTTGCACATTTGCTGGGAAAATAAGTATTCATTACCATTTCCACTTTGGGTGGAAGCAAGTAAAAAGAGCAATGAAATAGGCTATTAGAGCCCAAATACAGCCAACAACTTCACTTAAGGTTTTTGGCTTTTTGAAATCTCATGGGTCTTAAAACTTTATTTTTGTGGAGAAATCCAGGCCCCTTCAGACTTCTTCACAAACTCTTGGGTAACATATAACTTACTGTGAAAATATTTTCAAAATAAGGAACAGAGAAAGTTCAAGTTTATTTATAAAGTTTCAAGACAGCAGTGTGTTGGTTGATCTTGGTTTTGCTAAGGTAAGTGGTTCCCTCCTGTGTGAAGAACGTACATGCCTCAATAGTATCTGTTGCCATTTAAAATCTTACACTAGAATATCATAACTGCCAGGATTTGTGTCTGTTATTGATGAGCACATAATATTCTTTCTCTTTCTCTCCCTTTTTATCTTAGTTATGGATGTGCAGGCATTTGAAAGGCTTTTGGGACCTTGTATGGAAATTCTGAAAAGGAACATTGCAAACTATGAAGAGCAGCTCGTTGCTCTTTTTGGAACAAACATGGACATTGCTGACACCAGTGCATGAACTAAACATTGGAGCAACAAGATCTGTTATGAGAATATAGCACAGTAGTGGTTAGTCCACTGAGAAATTGTCTCTCTTCCTATAGATGCCAAGCATTTTCTGTGATTTTAAGAATGGGATTGGGGTTTTTTGGTTTGGTTTGTTCTTGGTTGGGTGGTTCTTTCGTTTTTGTTTGTTTTGTTGTTTTTTTTTTTTTAAATATGACAGTGGAAATACTAGTTAAGAAAATAGCAATTCAATGAATTGAGGGCTTGATTTTTAAAAGTGCTCAGAATTGATGGTTCCATTTGGTACAAAGACATCCTGTAGTAGCACAGTACCTTTGAAAATCAAGTCCTTGAACACAGCATTTCCTTAAAGAAGAGATTTTTAAAGAAACCCACATGTGATGAACTTGTTAAACCAGCTTCTGTTCTTCAAAAAGGTTACATCTTTTCTGGAAAGACTGTTAGTTTGAATGTGATATGTTGAAAGTATTAGTGCACACAAAGTGTTTATATGTATTAATACAGAAGATATACAGTAGATATTACTTTTTGACTATTACAGTTGTCATAATTTTATGTTGCATTTATCACAGATGTAGTGAATCACAAGATTAATCATAAGATAAAGCATGACAATGCGTTTTGTGTAACGCTCATGACCCAAATCTGGTTTTTAACATTTCGTAATTTGTTTTAAAGTCCTCTTTGTTTAATATGTCATGTTTCAGCACGACATTGTAATATCTTATGCAATTTAGAGGACTTGTATATTTTTGCAATAAACTGCATTTTTTATTAGTTACATGAATTCTGTACATGAGTGAGGACAGCTGACAAATTTACCTTAATGCTTTCAAAGCAAAGGCATGGGTCATTGTCATGTTCTACCTAATCATACATAACCTATATTGTTTTCCTTCTCCCTTGTTTTATATTTATGCATTTTGTCTTCTCTATTTATGCTTGTTCTCTAGTAAATTTTTTTTTTAGATATCACCTTTTTTACTGTTAAATCTGTTTCAAGTGAAATGATCTCTGTATATCTCTCTTCCTGCAGTCTAATCTTAGCTATCAAAGATCTGAGTCAATTACTGAAGTGATTGATATCAAAAGCCATGCTAAACTAAGCTTGTCCTTGAAAATCCTTAACAGGAAGTGCAAAAATATTTTTAATTTGAAAGATCAGTACTTCCAAAGCTTTGCACACATCTGTCGTCATTAAAGCTAACATGTCTTGCTTTCAAAAACCTGTAGGTCATCATGAAATAATGTGTTCAGCCATAATAGCATGGGATACCTTCTGGGACTGAGGAGAGAGAATATCATCTTAATTATGAGCACAGGGCTCATTGCTTACAAGGGTCTGTGACTGGAAATTTCAGGCACAGTCCAATTTCAATCCTGCTTACTGACCTGTCTCTTGATGTTCATGGACAGCCAGTGCGCGTACTGGCGATGGGCAACTCTGCCAAAATGACACTGCAAGAGTTGTAGGAAGGCTGCTTGTGCCCTGATTCAAACACCTGAATTATAACATCTTTCCTTCTTAGATACTGACTTTTCTAATGCCATATATTTGTGTATGTAGATGTAATCATTATGCTACAGTTAGTGATATGTTCTGACAATTAATATAATCATACATGTATATGAAATTATGATTATATTATATAACAATATATAATTTATATCATATAATATGGTATAAATTATAAATCAGATTCCTAACAAAATACAATCTGAACAAAATTTACAAATGTATTTTTTTTTACCTAGAAACCTGGTATGAATAATTGCACATATGATAACTTGCCTTTGTACTTTTGATTTATGGGAAAAAGAGAAGCCCGTTATACTAGAAGGAAATATCAGGTGACCAAAATCTACACTCTTGTCATTCTGTATGCTTAATCTCTAAAAGCTACCTATATTTTGCACTGGCTTAATGTGATTAAGAAAAATGCTAGAAATTACTTGTATGGCAGTAAACTACAATCAAGGCCATAAATGCCAGTCATGATATTTTCAATATTGTTGGTTATATTTAAAGTTTCCTTACAATAAACAACACTTTTATATATAAAAATCTACATTTATTGATATTGTTGTTGTCTTTTAATTCTATTACCATAAAATTACAAGTGACCTATTTATGTTCATTTTTTAAAAAAAAAATCATAATTCTTAACACTTTCATGCTGATTTTCATAAATGGCATTATGTGGATGCTCTGTCTACTCAGAACAGACAACACGTTGATGCAGTAATTGTCATAATTACTTTATTTAATGATTTGCTTGTAGTTTATAGCTGGGAAAAAGCTGTGGAGTAACAAATTTAGGATAATCAGAGACTGGGTTTTCTGAGTCCCAAAATACAGTTTCATGTTGCAGTAGTTTTACTGTGTTGCTGTTGAGCACTGAATGATTTCTGGAATTTTCTTTGTTGATAAGTTCAGGGGGGCTGAACCAACAGTAACATGTTATCACTCTTCAAATTTCATCCAAATCATTATATCCTTCCTCTTTTTCCTGGTTCTCTTCATATGTACACTTCAAACATGCTAGGCTTCATGTCATAAATGTGGTGAGTGTTAATCCTAAGAATGAAATCATATCAAGTTACTGATTTTTTTTTACAGATCTTTCAATAAAAAGTAGACAATGCTGATAATTTTAAACAACACAGTGTCAGGTTTACCTTATTAGATTGTGTCCGTTCTTAAGCTTCCTGATGCTTTTGTTATTAAAGATTTTTATTGAGTTTTTTTAAAATATGCCCCAGTTAAGAGTGAAGAGAGAAAATCCTGAAAGAAATCCTGTGTAAGAGACATTCATGGGTTCATATGTTTTACTAACCAGAAGAGAATCCACAATGACAGCAAATGTTTTTTATAAATGCCTTAACCATGGGGAAAACAATCTGATTGTAGCCCCGAAGCTGATCACGAGACACAAACCCTGAGGTGAGCAAGATTTCCTTGATTGTACTGCTTTTTAAATGTCAAATGACGCTGTGTTTCATGAGATTTAATTTAAATTTGTCTGAAATAAACATTTCTGAAATCATTCCCTTCTGGATTTCCTGTTTAAGGTCCAGAAGTGACCAACTGTGGAAGTCATGAGGCAAACCTCAGAAGAGTATTGTGAAACCATATACAGCTTAAATCGCTATTACTCCATCTTCTTCCCTCATGTTGTCTTTTCTATTCAGTGAAGACTATTCTGCTCCTTGCTGGAATGGTGGGTTTAGTTTGGGGTTGTTTTGTTGTTTTGGTTTTGTTTTGCTTGAAATGTTTGTTGCTTTAAGCTTTCCGTAAGGTGACTCTGTGACAGTTGTCATGATTGTGCTATTCTGTAATCCATGGCACACTTGCTATGACAAGCATTATTGTTTATTCGATATCAAGAGTTCCCGCATGTGCAAAACCAGTATCTTCTGGTTATCCTCCTGACAATTTTTAGCTTCTTTTTTTCAGATGCTTGCTGCATCTGATAGTGTTAGCTGAACAAGGTGCTTTGCTGGAAGTCAATTTACCACAGCACAGACATTCTTACATGTTCTTGCTAAAGTTTTTATGTTCATTCAAAGCTCTTTTTATCCAATCATACATCTGATAATTATAGATGTGTATTTTTTATTTTTTTTATTTTTTCAGTTTCTAAGGGCTGTTTCCAAGTTCTTAATCCACTTTTTGGCTCAGAGAGATGCTTATCAGGCTGGACACTCTCACTTCATGAACTGAAAGGAAGCTGAATAATCTTAATAGAGTATGAAAAGCCCAAAGAAAATTAGATTTTAACATTGTCTCTTCACACCATTTCTCTCCCTCTAAATGATCTTTCTCCTGGCAGCCAGGTGAAGAGCCAGTGGCAGAAGGGGGATATAAGGCAAGTGGAGGGACTGGTTGGGTCTGTGCTGGGACACACTAGTCTAGTTGGCGGGGCAGCCACTTTCCCCTCCTCATCCCCTTTGTCCCACCTCTGCCCCTTCTCTGATGGCAAATCAAAATGAGCTGGAGTGCAGTTCTGGCATTGCTGTGGCTGTGTGCGTACAATGGGTGGGGTTGTGTTTCTTCCAGAGAACTGGTAGAGGCCTCTGTGTGTATGGCAGAACAGGGGAAAGACAAAGACCAAACTATTACATAAATGAAGCTGTCCAATCAAGACCATATAAAAACTCTTGACATTAGATCATTGGGACACTATCTGCTGACTCAATCTTTTCTTACTGAGGTAAATTAGGACGGCCTAAAAATGACATAATTCATGATATGAATACTTTGTCATGTCTTCTTTGAAGGTATTGAATTATTTCAGCTGAGCATCTGTGAAGTTTTGGGAGAGGATAATGTTCTGTGCACGTCTCTGTGGATGAATAATTTCCTGACATCCAAGTGACCCTTTAGGACCTGCTCCCTCACATGTCTGAAGATGCTGGCAATTCAGTTCTGATAAATGTCTTAT